TTGAAGCATACTTTATATTATATATTTATAAGTATCCTTCCCGATCTTAGGTGCTCCAAAGAATGGTTGTTTCCATTTCATAACAAAGATCGTTCTACAATTTTATTTTTATCTTACGATGAAATTTATTTTGTATTCTCAAAAAAGATTTTAAAATAAAATTATCATTATGTTTGTATTAAGTCAATTTCTTACTGAAAATAAAGTTGTATTGTCTTATATAAAACATGACGTATTAGTAAACACTAAAATAAATTTTAATCCGTATGAAATTTTCTTAAAACGGCACTTATAATGACAGATTTTAACAGTAACCATTGTAGAATTTTTTTTTGTTTTAAAAGATACCTTCGCCATTGTCGTTAGCCTGAAGAACAATGAAAACGTATTTGACAAGTGCAACGAGAGTAAGAGTGTAGATGATGATGGAGAGAACCCCGATGACATCATCTTTTTCTTTGATGCCTTCAGTGAAAGTACTTGCGTACACATATAACGGTGATGTCCCAATGTCTCCATACACCACTCCTAAGCTCTGAAATGCCAAACTCATCGTCGTTCTCCAACTCATCTATCATTCACCAATCGGTTACCATAACTATATTTATAAACATGGAATTTTATACTACCAAATATTTCCAATATCAAACACAAATTTATTTAGGGTTCACACCAATGAAGGAAGACCGATGTTCGTTGGAGTTTTTCCGGCCTCTATGCTGAAAGAATCCGGTCGGAATAGTTTTCCCCATGATTTCTGATCAATATTCAACAAACAAACAAATGTTGTGAAATATGTTTTGATGACAATATATATAGATATTACTAAAAGAGAGTTAATACTTAATTTATCAAAATCATTTGTGTTAATAACTCTCGTATAGAAGACAAAAAAAATTAATAGTCCCCGCTTTGGAAGTTCACGATAACTCTTTTTTTTTTTATTATCATGCATATACTCTTCTTATTTTTGTTTCTTAGTTTCAAAAAAAAAAAAAAGATGCTTGGATATATCAATTCAAGCTATATAAGGGAACTTAATTTTGTACATATAACTAATATATGGCTTTATGCATCTATAAAGTTTTGTATAGGTAGAATATACAGAACTAGAGGAACGGATACGTTATACATAGATGATGTTAATAATACCTTTTTTTCTTTCAACATGTTCTCATGGTTATTAACTTCACCATCTATTTGCTGCTCCTCGCCATCCATATTGATTTTGTGTTGTTGTATTTTGGCACTTGAGAGAGACAGGTTAATTAGAGGTGTGTTGTAGGGTTCTTCTTTGGGAGCCCTTTATAAGCGTTAATAATATCTTTTGACTTCAGAATAAACAAACTCAACAAGTCGTGGATTTAGACTTATTTAATGAGGTAGGGACGCGGCTCAAACACGTATTGCCGGCTGTTGATAATTTTAATCTACTCGAAGTCGTCATTTACCCTAATTTATAACACAATGATTTGTGCTAGGATCGGTTAATGCATCACCATCCAAATTCAAATCTACATATTATTAAAAAAAAAAAAGACATTATTTTGATATAAATCTTTCAGACAATCAGTTTTTTAACACGTGTGAAAAAATTATAATTAGATTTTGACACGTGTGAAAAGGAGAATCTAATATCATGCAAATTACATAAACAAATTAAATAATCTAATACCATTATATTTATGTATAATATGCATTATATTCTGAGTTTTCAATTTAAGTTAGGCTTTTCATTATGTAGATACAGTAATATTATTCATGTTGTGAATTTTTTTTTTTAAATAAAAAAT